AATGTTTTGAGAATGATGAGGGCAATGAATGTACAAATGTGCTTTACACAATTGATGTATGTATGGATTGTGATGAGTTGTATGAGGCCCTAATAAAACAATTTAAAAAGAAAAAAGAAAAGGGTTGCAAGGACCCCCGAGGCAAGTAAAGCATCACATCACTCCACCTGAACACTGGGTAGAGGCAGCTGATATAGTCCAGGACCTCACATGCGTGAGAGATAACCCAGGCCCTGGAAATTCTAAGACACAGGGAACTTCAAAAAGTCTGTGGAAAAATTCCTTTAAATTCCACTTTCCCATGAACATTTTGAAGCCCCTTCATATAGCTGAAAAAGCCCTGGGACCCCAGTTTTTTCACGAGTCATCAGCTCAAGATATGCCTGAAGAACCAAGGCGGGTGCTGCTGTGTGGTACGTGGCTGTCCTGCAGGGCTGAGAGCATTCTGGGGTGTTCCCTGGTCCTTCAATGATGAGCAGCTTGAGACACAGAGCCCTCCAGCAGGAGAGGGGAAGAGGGAGGACAATTTAAGACAGCTGCACCTCAGCTTCCAGGAGAGGGCTCTTAGGCTGGCTCCAACCAGTACGGCGCTCACACTCCCAGCTCAAGTCATTTCAGTGGTCTCCAAACAACGGACTTTTCTCTACACTACCCCAGGGTATTCATCACCTGTTCACAGGACTGTGGTTTCCAGATGGACAGAGGCTCTCTGGTACTACATGTGTATTGGGTTTGTCTGATGTCAGAGAGCTAGTTGTGTTGGGGGTGGGGTGCAGGAGTAACTATCCCAATCTAAAACTTGCAACTACACTGAAGTTTAACTGAAGATGCAAAAGGCTGCATACAGCATGATGCCATTTAGCTGAAACTCCCAGATTAGGCAAACTCAAACACAGGAAGCATATCAGTGACTGCCAGTATTAGGGGTGGGGAGTGAGATCATGAGTGACTCCATATTGGGTATGGGATTTGCTTTGAGTGTGATGAAAATGTTTGTACATTATAGATATATTAAATGTCATGGAATTGCACACCATAAATGATTATTTTTATGTGAATGTCAATACACACACACACACACACAATTTTACCCAAGAGCACCTTTAGATAGGATACATATTACAGGAATTCCTTTGGAGTGCCATAGAATTAGTACTAGTCCAGGATGGTGGAAAAACAGGTCCTTGGGCAAGTAAATGGAGCCCTGGTGTTACAGTGCTTCTGGTGGTGGGCTGTGATCCACAAGGCAAGCAATTCAAAACCACTAAGCTAGTCCTTGGGAGAAAGATAGGCTTTCTACTCCTGTCCTATAGTCGCTATGAGTTGCCATCGACTCAGTGGCAGTGAGCTAGCTTGGTTTTATGGTTTGGGAGAAGTAAATGATGTTGCAAATTACATCACAAGGACTCAGGATTTACACTGGTAACTTACCGCTCCACACAGACCTCAAGGTTTTGTTTGGTGTTTTAAAAAAAAAAAGTAATGGTCCTTTGCTAAACAAGCATTGTCTCAAAACCACTGAATTAATTCTGACTCAGCAACCCGATACGGCTGAGTAGAACTGCCCGTGTGGCTCTCAGAGACTGTCCCTTTTTAAGGGAGTGGAACACCTTGATATGGTCACATTGTTCCGTGGGACACACTTTGAGGACACCGACTTAGGTCAATGCATAAACATGTGTGAGGTAATACACCTCAAGTAACTATGGCATAAAACTACGAAGCCATTTCTTTTTTGTCATTGGTTTTCTTGTTGTTGTCATTGTTTTGTTTTCTTTTGTCACTTTGTTTTATTGTCTTGTTTTATTGTGCATATTATTATCTCTGCAGGTCTATCTAGATAAGATAGGCTGGATAAACAATTTAGAGGAGAAAACAAGTGATCCAAAGTCAGTGGCAAGGAGGGTTTAAGAGGCCTGGCAGGGATTGATCAAGGGCAATGTAACCGAGAGGAATTACTGATACCCAAATGAAGGCTGAACATGATAGTGGGACAAGAGGAAAATAAAAGGAAATAGAGGAAAGAACTAGGAGGCAAGTGCATTTATAGAGGTCTAAATACAAGCATGTACATATGTGAATATATTTATATATGATGATGGGACAAATGGGTGCATAAGCAAATGTGAAGAAAGCTGATGGTGCCCCGCTATCAAGATAAGAGCACCTGGGGTCTTAAAGGCTTGAAGGTAAACAATCGGCCATCTAGCTTAAAAGCAACAAAGCCCACAAGGAAGAAGCAGTCTGTGTGATCACGAGGTGCCGAAGGGATCAAAGAACAAAAAATCTATCATTGTGAATGAGAGGGAGTGCATATTGGGGACCCAAAGCCCATCTGTAAGCAACTGGACACCCCCCTTACAGAAGGGTCGCAGGAGGAGACGAGCCAGTCAAGGTGCAGTGTAGAAACATACAGCTTTCCTTTAGTTCTTAAATGCTTCCCCCCCACCGCCCCCCACTATCAAGATCCCAATTCTATCTTACAAATCCGGCTAGACCAGAAGATGTACACTGGTACAGATAGGAACTGGAAACACAGGGAATCCAGGACAGATGATCCCTTCAGGACCAGTGGTGAGACAGGCAATACTGGGAGGGTGGAGGGAAGGTGTGGTAGAAATGGGGAACCGATTACAAGGATTTACATATAACCTCCTCCCTGGAGGAAGGACAACAGAAAAGTGGGTGAAGGGAGATGTCAGACAGTGCAAGATATGACAAAATAATAATTTATAAATTATCAAGGGTTCATGAGGGAGGGGAGAGCGGGGAGGGAGGGGAAAATGAGCTGATACCAAAAGCTCAAGTAGAAAGCAAATGTTTTGAGAATGATGAGGGAACAAATGTACAAATGTGCTTGACACACAATGGATGTACATATGGATTGTGATAAGAGTTGTACGATCCCCAATAAAATTATTTGAAACCAAAAAAACTATGAAGCCAAACCCATGGCCATCGAGTCCTTTCCAACTCCTCTAGGTTTCCAAGGCTTTAACTCCTTATGGGAACACACTGCCTCCTCTTTCTCCCTTGGGATGCCTAACAGATTTGAACTACTGACCTGTGGTCAGCAGCCTAATATATAACCTACTATGCCAGCAGGGCTGCCTGGCACACAGCACAACTATATGCCCTCAACTGCTAAACATCTGGGATGCAAAGAGTAAAGTGGGGAGCATAGAGTAAAGGGGGAAGGCGAGATGAGGGTGAGTGAGAGACAATGGAGGGCAGCTGAAGGGAAAGCCAGGGCAAGTGGCATGATGGGAGGGAGAAGAGGAAGCCCCCCCGCCCCCGCCCCCACCCCACCCCACCCCCAGCTAGAGCTCATAGACAAGGAGAGGCATGGCTTCCTGAGGCATGTGCAAATCTGAGCTATGCTAGCCTCAAACACACCCGTGAGTCTGGTGCCAGGCCAGCTCCCCTTGTAGGGGCTGGGCCCCCTCTGTAGGCACCCTGCCCATTTTCCTCTGAGCTCCCTAGCAAGTCTTCCCCTCACGCTGGGGTTACTACTAGCACTGAAAATGTCAGCCCTGTCGAAAGTGTTGACATATGAACAGG